TTCTTACAAAATGTATGATCTTAGAAGATGTGTCTTTACTGCTCTCCCGGACTGTGCTCTGATCTGTGAGTGACTGCAAGCACTCTTTTCTGCCCTGGAACTGTGACCAGGGTCCCTGCTCCCCTGTGGCCATAAGCTCTGGTGTGCTAGTGTCCTCCACAGTTTGACCCAGGACTTGGTCCCTGATCCACATACGGTCAATACAACGGAGTCCTACACCCAGTGCCAACAATGGTTCTCCTGTAATCTCCTTCTGACCGGTTTTCTGACACCCCCTTCCCCTTACTGTCCATGGGCTGAGAGCTCCAGAAGCTGCCTCTGCCACCACTGATTCAGTCACCCCCAAGGCTTGCTGCAGGTTTACTGGAGCACAGCCAGTGCTGGAGTGCACCCCATTCTCATCTGGTGCAACAGGCCTTGCCTGCCCACCTCCTTCCTAAGTTTTCTTCTTTTCCATACTTTTGTGAGTTTCATTCACTTTGAGGTATTATTTAAAGTTGTTGTTCAGAGGGAATTTGAAAGGGCTCGGGTGAGTCCCTGCCTTTTCTACACCATCATGGCTCTGTCCCCTCTGTCTCATCCCTTTAAAATATAATTGATTTCCTTTGAAAGCCTATATATGTTATTTTTTAAAAAAGCATGAGTCTAAGAATAGGTCTGTAGGTTTCAACCAAACTGCCATAGAAATTCATGGCACAAAAAAAAGGTTAGAAAGCTCTGGACTAGGGGATCTCTGAGGTCAATTTAATCAACATTTTCAAAATGCTTATTATATATGTAAGCATTCTGTCAGGAACTGGTCATACAAAGACAAAAAAAAGACCAAGAATGCAATAGTTCTTCCCCTCAAGAAGCTTACATTCTACTATAATGAAATAACAGGTATATACATAAATGTATTCAAGGTAGTATGAGGAGGGAATAAGTACTGACAACTGAGGTGGGGGAGAAATCAGGGAACACTTCATGAAGGAAGTAGTACTTGATCTGAGACTTGGAGGATAAGTATTCTGAGAGGGAGAGTACGTTCAACAAATATTTATTAATTAGTCGCTATGAGCAAGGTATTATGCAAGGCATTGGAGATGTGACAAAAGCAGTTCCTATCCTCAGGTACATTCTCCTAGAGGGACACAATGCAAAAACTGATGTAAAGAGATGTCTGCAGTCACTGTAAAAGGAATCCAGAAGACATTGCATTGGAGGCATAAGGGGACAGCAAGAATGTGGGAGATGGAATGCCGAATACAAGGAACGGCTAGTACCCTAGTTTGACTGGAATGCAGAGGGCATGAAATCAAGTAATGAGCAAGAAGGCTGGCAAAGTGTGTTGGGGTCACACTGTGGAGGGCATTAGATGCCAGGATGAGAAATTGATTTATGTTTATTTTCTATATTTTATTTTTATTTTATATTAATTGGTATTAAGAGGCAATGGGGAGCCACTGTAAAGATTTGAGCAGTAAAATGGTATGGTCAGAACTGTGCCATAAGGAATTTTAAGCAGATATTTTGAATAAGGGAGAAAGTAGAAGCAAACAAAACAAAATCAATTAGGAGGCTATCAACAATATTCCCGGAGAGAAGTAATGGGGGCCTGAATTAGGGCGCTGGCCCCATGGGTGTGGGGGAGCAGTTGAATCATAGGATTGTAGATTCAGAGCTAGGAGGGACCTTCTAAACTGACAAGTCTCACCCGCTCATTTTGCAGATGAGGAAATGGAAACTCAGAGGGTTTAAGTGACTGACTCAGGGCCACATAACTAGAAATTGAGGCAGGCAGAGTTTGAGTTCATCTTCCTCATTCCACTGCTCTATCCCTAATACCTAGCAACCTTGAAGGAATTTGGGGTCCGGCTCCTTGAAACTCTGATTCTGTTATGTGTGTGATTCTGTTTGGGACACAGTTAAAGAGAAACAATAGGGATGGCCTATCCTGGCCTGTCCTGTCCTGTCTAGCAACTCTTCTTTCCCAGCTGTTAGAATTTCATACTTTGAAATTCCCAGTTAGGATTGAAAGAGAAGATGCCTAGGGAAGAAATGATAAGATTATAGCACCTAGAAGTTGCAGATGCCTGCTTTTTGAGTTGGAGGATTTAGCCTTTTTACCTCAGGTATTCTGAGTTCAGAAAGCAAGGAATAAAACTCTGCAGGCCTAATACTAACCAACTTAGAGGAAAATAAACAGTAACTGTGTTAAAAAATAATTTTCTTGAATTTTGATGCCTAAACTAGAAAAAAGTGATTCTAAACAGGGAAATTTAAATATGTTGAATGCTGACTCGCTCTTATTTATGAAACATTTCTCCCCCTTTTCCTGTGTCTATAAAAAATCTGTCACTTGATATTTGCATGGTCTAAGCACGTTTGTATCTCAGCAATATTAGATTTATTTGAAACTTCAGTAATCAGCACTTCAGTTTGGAATCAAGGAAAAACCACATGTAATATTTGTGCCTCGTCCTCTCTAGTTCCCCAGTACAATCTCCAGAGCCGTGGTAACACTTCTCAAAAATTTTTTTGCGAAGTATCAAAACTGTGGACTTATTGAACTTTATTGAATTGCTTCATCTCTAAAATTCCTGGCAGATCTATTACTTCAGGTTGTTACTGTTAGTGACTTTTAAAAAAAAATCTCCTGTAAAAACTTTTTTTCATTAAGTTAAACTAATTTATAAAACAAACAATATTTAATTCTAGGCTTTTGTTGTTGTTAGGTTGTTTCAGTAGTATCCAACTCTTCAAGAACCCATTGGGGGTTTTCTTGACAGATACTGGAGTAGCTTGCCATTTCCTTCTCCAGCTCATTTTTTGGATGAGGAAACTGAGGCAAACAGGGTTAAGTGACTTGCCCAGGGTCACACAGTTAGTAAGTGTATGAGAACAGATTTGAACTCAGGAAGATGAGTCTTCCCAACTCCAGACCTGGCATTCTAACCACTGCTCCACCTAGCTGCCCATGATTCTAAGCTACTAAGCAGAATGTGCATGGGCCTCGTGAATCAGAAGATATTTCAAGAAATCTATAAATTATAACTAATTTAAAATGTTTACTATAGCTTTGTCTTTACCAGCCTAGGTCCAGGACTCTCCAAATCCTTTCTTACCTTGACCAACAGGCAAAGTCATCAACTCTGCAGCCACACATGTAACAACACTACTCCTCCTCCATCAATAGCATATTTTCTGCCTCTTTCAGAGACTGATCATCAAATCAGTGTTGATTTGCTACTGTGAATGGAATGACAACACCATGGGTCTATACAGAATCCCTGTGATTTTTAGTTGTGGGCTTCTGAGACCAAAGTTCTCTTCATTGACCACCCTTTTCTGCTCCCTCATACTCACCTGTATCAGTTTCATCCCTCCCTGGTGTCCCTATCCTACTCTTCCTTACCTTTTTCCATTGTGATCTCTGGAACCTCTATTCTATTAACAAATTTCCCTTTGTTTTAGACCTGTGTTCTGCTCTTGGGAACTACTTTCAGTATTCCATGTTTCCCCATCACCTCAATAATACACAAATTCTTTGAGGGCTGGGACTGATATCTTGTCTTTGCAGTCACATCTAGTATAATGTTTAGTAAATAATAGGTGCTTAAATGCTTATCTAACTGAATTTAAAACATCACAGACATTGTTGTCTTGGCCTTGGCTTGGCACAGCTGCAAAGGATTAACAGAAGTTTGGGGCTGGTCTGCACATAACTAAGGCATGCTGGCTGGTCATAAGGTAGAAAACATGCAATCTCCACCCATTAACTCCATATCTGGGTTCCCCTATGGCTTGTTTTCTTCATGTCTGAGCTCCTATGCCCCAACTTCTTAGAAAGCTAGGTGATGATGAGGTCAGGAATACTTGAGTTCAAATTCTGCCTCAGATATTCACTACCTGTGTGAGTCTGGGCAAGTTACTTAACTGATATGTCTTCCTTTCCTCATCTGTAAAATGGAGGTAACAGCCCCTTACCTTACAGGATAGTTGTGAGAGTAAAATAAATTAACATATGTAAAGCACTTTGCAAACCTTAACTATATAACTATATAAATGCTACCTATTATCTCCCTTTTTGAAAAATGTTATTGTTGTTGTTCAGTCCTTTCACTCCTGACTCTTTGTGATCCCTTCTCGCTTTTTCTTGGCAAAGATATTAGAGTGATTTGCCATTTCCTTCAGCTCACTTTACAGATAAGGAAACTGAGGCAAACAGGGTTAAGGGACTTGCACAGGGTAACACAACCAGTAAGTGTCTGAGGCCAGATCTGAACTCAGGTCTTCCAGACTCCAGGCTGGTGCTGTTCTTGGCTCTCCTACTTTTCCTCTGGACAGTTCTTTCAGCATGTCTAGGAAACTGTTGAGACTGCATTCCTCTTCCTACCCTCAGTGTGCACTTGGCTCCTCCGAAAGCTCATGGAGGGGTTATAATTTGCATCTATGGAGTACATACTCATTTTGAAGAAATCTTGGTGATTTCCTTTGGAATTTTGAAGAAGAAAAACAGAAATCTGAAAAATTAACTGGAATATGAAAAGCATGAGAAGCTAAAATTTCAAAGGTAAGGTCAATTTAGTTTTTCTTGAGTTGTGTGTCTTTTTTTTAAATACAAGATTAATGAACGTTATGCTTGAAAGTAGACATCTTTAAGTTCCTTTTGAATTGTTTTTTGAATAAAGGTACACACTCTTAAAAGGTGCTCTCAGGCCTTGGAAAAACTATCATTTTTCTCCCTATTGTTGTATATTTTCCCCAGGATTTATTCCAACAAAATGGTAAGAATGATGCTAACGTGTAAGAACAGGGATATGGAAATTACCACTCTTTACAAAAGGTTTATTGAAACTTGTTTAATTTTCTTTCAAATATTCTATTAAACATAGTACACAAAATACAGTAAAATGCACTTTTCCCATTTCAAATAAATATATTCTAACTTTTGTAGAAATTTCATAATTTGTGTAACCCCAGTGTCTTAATTGAAGTAATATAGCAAAAAAAAAATCTCTAATCAAATAATATTTAATTTATTGAAATTATACCCCAGGCATGTCACTGGATAATAAGAACAGTATATTCTACAGACTGTTTGAAGACAGAAATAAGTGTCTGAAAATGTGCTAGTTTCATATAGAGCCACAGTTTGGAAAGGTACAGCTCTCAAGTCATATGGTATAAACTCAGTTAAGTGGAAACTGCCCTGTTAAAAATTTTCTAGCGACAGGACCATAGTCTGAAAAATAATGATGCCTATTTATCACACTGGTGACTTTCCAAACCTAGTGATATTTAATAGTTATAAAATATAGGGCAGAATTTTTAAAATCATCTTACAGGAAAGGCTAAAAATAAAGGTGCTGTGCAAAGGCAAAGTTGTCCTTTTCACAATTGTTTTTAACATTTACTAGACTGAAATCTACTAAAATATACAGACTTAACACACAAAAACAATCATTTACACAAATATCCCTGATCAGCTTTAAGACATTGGATTAGTTTTTTTTTTTAAGTGGTAAAATCATTTTAGAAAGTTTAAAGAAAGTCACATTTAATTGGTAACCAACACAATTTTTTTCTGTAAAATCTTTTCAACACCTTCAAAATAATTCACCATCAAAGAATATGGATCATTAGTACTGTCTACCTTCCTATATTAGTAATTAATCAGTGCTTTTTAAACTAAATAGCCTGTGGATGTAAGTCAAATTTCACCATAGTTAATTCCCAAACATAACTACATCTACAAACAATATAAATCTTACATGACACGGTCTAAAAGGTCAATGTTAGTTCTGCCCCCCAACACTATAAAAGAGGTGTGGTTTTTTTTTTTTTAACTGCACAGGCAGTTGATACTTCTAGTATGATATGAAATCCTTTTCTCCTTGGTTTAGGAAGCAGAAAATCAAGTCTCTGAGTATTTTTTTATGGAGATATTTCATAAACAGATGGACAAAGGATTGTACGCTCAAAAAACTAAACAAAACAAAACACAAGTCCAATCGAAAACTTTTGTGGCCTCATCCTCTTGCATTATCTACAGCTCCTCCATTTCAAAGTGTGTATTAAAGCTGTTTGCCATGGTTGAGTGTTCAAAGATCCTTGACAGACTTGGTTTCAGCAGCTCTACTGAATGACATGACAGGTGCTGTGAGGTGTCATTCTTCAAGGACATCATTTGATCTGTCCCAGGATCTCTTCTGTCATAATACAAAGCCCACAGCAGGGTAATAGTGAGAATCATTGCCAGAATTTGGGTAACTCCGATAGAGATACCCAAGAATCTTAGAACTTGTAATTGTTTGGTTCCTCTCAGGAAGGTGTACATTTTTTTCCCACAACCCTGTAAAAACAAATAGATGTGGTCAGTATCATTTGAGATCTGTCTCTTCTAACTCTTATTAAAAACAATATGAACTCTGCCTTAATTAACAATACCAAGTGATGTTTGCACATCTATATCTCTTAAGAAATTCATTTACTTTGCATGATGGTGTATGAGATAACCATTCTAGCCAACCAGCAATCAATCAACAAGTTATTTATTAAGTAGATATACCAGTCAATCTGCTAGGCAATAATGATTCAATAAAAAAATAAAACGGGCTTCAAAGAGCACACATTTATATTGACAACATGTACATAAATAAGCATATACAAAATTTATAAATCCATTTTGTCCTACATTTTTTCACATGAAAAATCAGCCTTTTCACTTGTACTGATGGTATGAAATGGAATAAGCATTTATGATGCAGCTACTTAGTATGGTAAATACTCTTTTGCCACTATTCTCAATAATCAGCACAGCTTTTCCTAACCTACTACTTAAGTGGCTACAAATGCACAGAGATCAAATCTGGGCTCTTGCAATGAGGCCATGTCCATAGGAGGAGAGACTAAGGGATCTTGGGGAAAGGAACCATACTGACCATCAGCTACTGCTTTCAGCAGTGCGGACAACTAAGAACAGAGGAATGGGACAATTCTACTCCTTAGTGTCTATGCAAACCTGATCAAGAGCTGCTGCTATACCATGCACTTCATCGAATCCAAGGGTAGAATCCTTTTTAGTCTCAAAATGTCAACCAATGCACTGAAATATGCTTTTTTTTTTAAATCAATATACACAGGCAGAATTACCTGTGTCCTCATAGGTCATTCCACACACTAACTTTTACAATAACCTTTGTTTACAGGTTACTGGAGAAACTCTTAAATAAGCACAAGTCAGGGAGAGAAGCATAAAATATATTAAGCAATAGATCATACAAAAATCATTAATATGACTTTAGCTTACAGTCAGTGGTATCTGCCCAGGTACACACCCAATGACTTCTTTTGTACTAAGCCTAACCTCCGGTCATATTCACTCTTATCAGGAGCCTAGCCCAACAACCACCTGCATTGGGAGGGAGAAGACTTAACTCACTGTGGATAATCTACTAATTGATAACCTATTTAACAGGTGTTTGCTGAAAGTCTATTTATCTGTCCATACACTAAGACTTTAGGTTCCTATCTTTCTGTATCAAGGAACTAATTTTCATTTCTCCAAAGCGTTAGAGATAGAGGGCTGTGAGGAGGACAGGCCTTCATTAATTGTTCTCTACTGCCTGAAGGGGATCCTGACAGCCCTAGACGTTGTAGCAACCCGCTTGAAAATATAGAAGGTAAGGATTCAAGATCATCTACCTATTTCTCCAAAACAAGGGTCAGCACACATTTTGGCCCTAAATACCTTGTCAGAGTTACAAGTTTAGACCATTTAAAAAAGGGCAATCAGAACAGTTGAAGTACAATTTGCAGTACAAAAAAAATAAGTTTGCATTGGTGTCTTTTCTTTTTTAATATCGTCATAGTTTTCTCCAGTATCTCTCTCCCCACCTCTGCAATAGCATACAACAAACATTTTTTAAAGACAAAAAAGAAAAGTGGGAAAAATGAACACCAACTGAATACATTGAAAAAGTTTGAAAACGTGCAATGTGCAATACACACAGAAAGGGAAGGGTTGGAGGTATCCTCTCATATTACTTCATTCAAATTATGCTTGATCTTTACAATTTTGTTACATTTATTTCAAATTTGTGTGTGTGTGTGTTGTTTTCTTGACTACAGTTATTTCAATCTACGTCAGCTTATGTTGATCTTTCCATGCTCCTCTGTGTTCATCATCCCTTATAGTGCAGTAAAATTCCATTACGTTCATTACGCTATGAGGTATTGAGCCGTTTCTCAATCATTGGGTATTGACATTAACCAACTGGAAGCAATGTCACAAAATTTCTTCTATAAATATTTTTATCAAGGGCTTCATTGGAGACTCTCAGTCAAGAATATGTAATGGAATCTATTCAAGTCTTTTGAATTTTAGTCACTTTGCTTGAATTAATTCCAAATTTGGAATTGTTCAAATTGTTCAAAAGTGGTAGTATCAATTTACAATTCCACCAACAACGTATTAGTGTGCCGAATTTCTTTCTCTTGCATAATTACTTTTTGGTAGCATTTACAGAATTATATCAAGTTACAGCTGCCAGGTAGGTGGTGCAGTGGATAGAGCACTGGGCCTGGAGTCAGGAAGACTTTATTTCAAGAAACTTACTGGTTACGTTGACCCTGGGCAAATGACTTAATTCTGTTTGCCTCAATTTCCTCATCTGTAAAATGATCTGGAAAAGGAAATGGCAAACCACTCTGGTACCTTTGCCAAGAAAACCCCAGATCGGGTCATGAAGGGTTGGACGTGACTGAACAACAGCAATCAAATTATAGTGGGGATAATGGGCATCCTTGCTTTTGGCTTTAATAGATGCTTTTTTTTCCAGGATATTAAAAAAGATGTCTCTATGCCTATACTTTGTAGGGTTAGAACAATAAAAATTGCTATTCCCTACCTCCCCCTAATTTGCAAGGAGTGGGGTGAAACATCAGTGATGTTTTGATTTCTTTCATTATTAGTGATTTGGAATAGCCATACACATGGCTGTGAAGACTGAGCAATTCTTCTTTTGAAGACTGTTCATATTCTTTGACCAAGTAGTCTCAAATATGTTGATGAATTGTTTTTATATCTTGGATACTAAATCCTACCCAGAGATTTGTGTAATGAAAGATTTTTTTCCAATTCAACTGATTCCCTTTCTATCATATGTGCATTAATTAATTTTATCTGTGCATAAGCCTTTAAGTTTGATAAAACCAAAGTTACCTATTTTACCTTTTATAAGTGCCTCTTATTCTTGTTGGGTTAAGACTACATGTCCTACCTATAGCTCATGATATGCTTCTGTACTCATATTTTTATGGTATGACTTAAATATTAAGTTCATGTCACAATCCTGCTATTTGACAAAGTAAAATATTTTTTAAAAATAGCAATAAACAAGGAAACTAACAGAGCTACAAGAAGACAAACAGTAACCCAGTAGTGACAGGAAATTTCAATGTCCCTCTCTCGGTTTGCGATTTGACTAACAAGAAGATAGGGAAAAGAAGAACTGAACAAACTGCTGTTAAACTAGAGCTAAAAAACTTGTGTATGTCTTCGAAGAGGGACTATCAAAGATGTATGTATTTCTTAGCACCACCTGGAACCGTTAGAAAAACTGATCATTTTATGTTATTCCACTAAGTATTAAAAGGCAGACATAGTAAATAATCCTTTATAGACCATAAAACAAAAGCCAAAAACAACAAGACAGTTATTTGGGGACCACAAAAGAGACAAACACAAATGGAGACTTAACAATGAAACTCTGAATAATGAGTGAGTCAAAGCAAACTGACTTATAAGAGGATTTTATCAGACTTCTAAAAGTAATTAATACCTATATCATGGAAATTATTCTCAAAAATTGAGAAAGTACCCTACCATATTTGAGACTATTAACCATCCCATAATAGTTGATCAAAGGATATGAACAGTTTTCAAAAGAGAAAATTGCCAAGTATTCACAACCATATGAAAGGATGCTTCACATTTCTAATAATAGAAGTATAAACAAAGGTAACAAAAAATGGCAATATGTAATGTTGGCAGAGGACAGGATAGCTAGCATATTGTTGGTGGAACTGAGAATTGGTACAAGCAATTTGGAATTACGCAAATAAATTAACAAATTTCGATTCCCTGTGACTCACAGATTCTATTTGCTAGGTTTATATCCTAAGGAAATCACTGATATGAAAGTCCCTATGGACCCCAAAATATTTCTAGCAGTACTTTTGGTAACAGCAAATAATTGGAAACAAACTAGATGCCCATTGATTGGAGAATGACCGAAAATAGCATGGTACATTATTTTAGTGGAATATGAGTGTACTGAATGATCTACATGAATTGAAGCAAAACCAAGAAATTGAAATACAAAATAACTAAAATGATGTAAATGGAAAGCACATCCACATAAAAAAAAAATCCAATGTATAAAGACCAAGCATAACTCAAAAGAAGAGAGGAGAGAATACACCTTTGATAAAGATGTCAAGTCCACAGCTGTTTTATGTTTTTGGACTTTTTAAATGTATCAGTTGTGCTGATTTTTTCCTCTTTTGTCTTTAAAAAATACTATTTGTTGTATGGGATGGATCTCTGGCAGGGGTAGAAGAAGGGATACTAGGAAAAACTATGATGATATAAAAAACAAAGATCAATAAAAACCTACTTTAAAAATATTAAAGCTATGTGTGTGTTTGTGGGTTGAAGAGGTAGGGCATAGGATGTAGTAGCAAAAAGACCTCTGAATTTGGATTCAGAGGACCTGGGTGTGAATTGTGACTTTGTACCTTACTTAATGATGCTAGGCAAGTTACATAACCTCTGAGTCTCCTCAGTCCTGTCATATGAAAAACTGGGGGGGGGGGAGGGCACAGTGGGGAAGGTGGTTGGCCTACATGATCTCTAAGGTCCTTTCAATCTCTCAACCTATGATCCATAGTGGGAGAAAAGAGCCTAAGCTCACAATACCCCTTAGCAAACAGTAAAAAGTCAAGGCTATGATTCTCCTTTCTTTAGGTACTAAATGCCTCTTTTATTCAAGATAATAGTTTATCTTCAGCTAATTCCTCCAGGGAAGCAGAATCTTCAAGATAGCCTTGGGGGCATAGGAGGGTGGGAGATTAATTCACTGGACTGTGTAATCATAAGGTGTGTGGTGTAAGGGAAAGAACAAAGTACTGGGAGTCAAAAGACCTAGATCAAGAGTCTTAGTTTTGTCATTAATTCATTATGTGAAGGCAGAGCAACAGGAAGTATAGCAAGTTTCCCATCTCCCCGCCCCCCAGTCCCCACTCCTTCATACAGACCTAGAAAATGTACCAGACTGAATCCTGATGAGG